AGATAGGACCCTCTTGTAATTCATAGATCATAGCTTAGGCTAACTTCTTTTTATGGTGTAATAAGGAGGTCAGCGAGCAGTAGCAACAGCAACAGCAGTGAAATCACAGCTTCCTGGTAGTCCCAGCTACCAGACCTTCCCGAACTACACTGGCCTAATTCCTTTTTAGCCAAGGATATGTAGGCAACCTTTAAAGTAGGGTTCGGTCAGACGGTTTTCAAAAATGCTTCACACGGAGTATTCAAACGGGAAAAAATTGCTCGTTTCCGCTCACTTATCTTTGCACGAAAACTCTTCGTATTTCCGGGCAAAGAGGGGCAGCTGTGAGCACGTGATTTTTGCCCTATATGAATTACTCCCAAAAATTCAAACAAAATAATTTTTTCTTTCATTATTTTACACTTTTGTGAATTTTGTGTTATTTTCTGTTAATTGTTTGCATTTTATAAAAATATACACATGACATTTGCATTTAGGATCTAATTTCATATTTTAGGATTATTTAGTGGTTAAGCTGTTTTTAGAACAAAATTTAAAGAAAATAACAAAAATAGTCCATTTTTTGCATTTTAATTGTTAATTGTTGTAATTGTCATGGTTGTCTTAAATAGGATTTAATAGAGTTTTAGGAATTAATTAGTTTAATTTTGGAAACAAAGTGGGTCTTTGATTTTGCATTTTAATAAAGTTAGAAAACATAAAATACAAAATGAAAATAAATAAGTAAATAAAATACAAAAAGAAAAGAAGAAAAACAAATAAATTGAGAATTTAAAAGATTAAATAGGCTGGTGTGCAACTTGGGCCATTTCTAATTCCAGCCCAATTTAAAACCCCCAAGATCCGGCCAAGATCAGCCCAAACCAGTCTCCTACCCGGTCCAGCCTTCCCCGTCCCAAAACGACGTCGTTTAGTTCTATTAGATCTGAGCCGTCGAGGATACTTGATCCAACGACTCGGAACTAGGTTAAGCTTGATATAAAATGGTCGGATAAGCCTACCCCCCCAATCCATCGTCTCTCCCTCACCCCACTCTATCAGAGACGCCTCCATCGGCTCCGCCCTAGACCGCCGCCGGAAATCGCCCCACGGCGGCGGTGAAGCTCCAACAGCCCCCAAATTTACACCCCTACACCATCTCAACCTCCTCATTACAAATCCATAACTGGTTTTCTTCAAATCCCAACCAAAACCATCGAATCCGTGAAACCCTAGCCGCCGCCTCTGCCGTGTTCGGCGGCGCCACCCCAATCCCTACCAAATTTACACCATGGGTTCACCTTTCCCCCTACATCACGAATCCACACCCCTTTCCCTTCGAATCACCCTCAATCCGTTCGAATCTTGAATCAAAGTCTGACCCCAAAACCCTAGATCCCCAAAGTCCTGTTACATTCACATCACGTGACCCTTACGTCTTCCTCATGCCTCATATGTCATTGATGCCCTTCAAATCTCGGTTTTAGCTCGAGCTTCAAAGGAGTTGATTAGAGTCTGTGTTTCGAGTTTTAGGCCCGGAAGTAGTAAGTGTTCTTAATTTCTTTTCCTTCATTATGCGTCATTTTTATGTACATATATGAATTTTGTTCATCCTCAACATTTCTCTCGTCTTAGGATTAATTTAGGGTCTTAACTTGTTTATGTGTAGTTAATCCTTCTCCAGTCATATGAGTCAGTCTTTGTTCAAAATTTAACCCTAAGATTTCAACTTAATTGTTGTTCTGATTATTGAATCTTGCATCTTTGTTTTAAGTATGTTCGTTCTAATTTCGGGATTGAGTTTGAATTGTTATTGAGTGTGACGATTTGAAAGCATAGAATGGTTCTGTTTGGTTTGTAGGTTGATATTAATTCGATTGTGGTTTAAATTTGGCTGTAGTGCTTTAGTGTGAATTAGGAGTTAGTCTAACATGATTAATTAGTCAATTGTTAGGATTGTATTAGTCTAGTTGTTTGGATATAGCTGATTAGATTCTAGTTTGGTAGTTAATTAACCATGGTCAGTTAGAAGGGTTAAAAACAGTTAGTATGGTTAACAAATTCAGGGATGAAAAGAGGCTGAGGCTTAGTTAGGCTATTCAGTAATTTCAGGGAAGTTCAGCGGTAGCTTAGGCACTTAGAGTTGCGCAAGAATGTTGTGGGTAATACCAGAATCATCTAGAACCTTCCAAAGTAGGACTTTAGTATAATTTCAGTAATTTTAGTGTATTAACTTGAGGAACAAGTCAATAAGTAAAGGACAATTTGTGAAAATAACCTAGGGATTAGAAGGAAAACACAAAATCTGAGGGCTGCCCTCATTTTACCTATAAAAAGGCATGCCAATGCCTTAAGTCACAAGTTTTTGAACCCCAAAAAAATCCCCCCAAAAGTGTTCTTCAAGTTTCAAAACAGAAATTTGAATTTCAAAATCCAGGTCTTCAAAAAAAAACCAAAAACAGAAGAAAAGCAATAGAAAATCAAAAAAATTACTGTTGCATTCATTTCCCTTAGATCAATTTCAAATTTTAGGTGTTGAGTTGCATCTTCTAGTTCGATTTCTGGTTGTGGAAGTTTCAGAAACTTGCTGGGTTTAAATTCGAGTAAATCTGGGGTTTAAATGAGCTGTTGTAGTCTTTTATTGGGTTTTATCACTCGCTGGTTCATCTCTGGGTGTTTGTGAAGTTGTTGTGGGATTGAAATTTGCTCCTGTTGTTGTGGTTAACATTGCTGATTTATAACTCCTGTTGCTGATCCCTCCTTCTTCTCGTTATATTTCAAAATTCAGGTACATGTTCTGAATCTCAACATCATGTAGAATTTCAGCTGAAATGAAATGAAATGGAAGCATAATTTCATTAGAAGCTTCAGTTTTTGCAATATTTTCATTATAATCGACTGTAATGATTTGGATTGTAATTAGGACTTTTTTTAAAAGTAATTTGGACTGGTTGAACTCTTAATTTGTAATGGACTGTATTGAAATGATGAACTGTTAAGCATGAGTGTGCATTTGAACCATTAGGTGTGTGTTCGTGTATTTAGAGATGTGTATGAGTTTTTAGTAGTTGAGTACTAGTTGTAAGTAAACTGAATAAGTTCATGTTAGCTTTAGTTGATTTCGTGCCAACTGTTTCATAAATTTGTTTAACAAGTGACTCAGAAACGTGATAGAGCCTTTGGTAGTTGTTCTCATTTTCATTCCATAATTAAAAAATAACTTTGCTGAACTGTTTTGGACGGACCTGAGTATCAGTAGGACGAAAGCATTGAGTTTAGAGATAGTTGATCATTAGAGTTTGTATGTTAACTAGGTGAAAAGTATAACATGTGTATTGTAATTGTTAAGCATGTATAAATTTGATAGTTTAGGTACTGGATTTGAACTCGACTTTTGGCACGTTCCTTCACAAAGTTGAGCTCACTTTTGTGCTATAATCAGTACTGGGCCTCGTCTTAATTCAACGCCTGATTCTGGGCTCAAACGTGAGGCCCAGACAGCTATTGTCCAGCTGCACCACTAAATTTGAACAATGCTCTTGGTCCTGGCTTCCGCAACAATAGGCCCAAACTATCCAATCCTTTATGTTTTGAATGAATTGCTAAATTACTGAGCTGGGTTGATTGGAAACCGAATCATAAGGATTTGGCCTTTTAGATATACTAATTAATTAGGGCCTTTAGAGACAATATTAAATAGAAAATCATAGTTTACTTTAGGTTGGACCTTTAAATAATAAATGAGATGAGCCTCACTAAACAAAAACACATAAATTGCGGGGCCCTCAACAAATGTATACATTAAAATAATTAGAATTCGGGATGGGCCGTTTAGCGAATTTCACGGCCTTCCCCAAAGATAATAACGCGTTAGCCTCTTTAAGCGCGTCTTTTAATCACATTACCTTCCTAAAATCGGGTGCGCATTTATGTGACCCAAATCCAAATCTCAACGAAGTCAAAATGTGTCAAAAATCGCGGGTGCATTTATGTGACGCGGTTCGAGACGTATTTTCACGACGTTGAAATTCTCTTTAAAATAATAATAATAAAAGCGGTTAAAAAGCACATAGGTTAAAACATGTATTAAGATCAAACAAATAAGCCAAATATAACAGTTGAGCGACTGTGCTAGAACCAGGGAACCCGGGAATGCCTAACACCTTCTCCCGGGTTAATAGAATTCCTTACTCGGATTTCTGGTTCGCGGACTGTTATCAGAGTCATAATTTCCTCGGTTCGGGATTCAACCGGTGACTTGGGACACCATTAATATCCCAAGTAGCGACTCTGAAATCTTAATAATAAATCCCGTTCCGATTGTCCTTTAAGTGGAAAAACTCCTTTATGCCTTTCCGGGGGTGTAGTGAAAAAGGAGGTGTGACAAGTCTTTTAGCCGAAATGAGGAAAAAATTATGTAGCCATTTTAGAGGCTGAAACGGCCCAATTTAAAGAGCCTAAGGGCCAATTCTAAAAAAGAGCCTAAGGGCCAATTCTAAAAAAAAGGAGCCTTAGGGCCGATATACAAGAGCCTAAGGGCTAGCTTAAAAAGAAATATGGGGCCAAAGACTTATGGGAATCCGAGACCCCGTTCTCGTTTAACTTGGACCCAAAAGGCCCCGTTACCCCGAGCTCGCATTAAATTGATTTTAAGTTTGACTCGGGGATCGTCAAGAACCCTAAGGGGTATGATCTTGGGCAATTAAAGCCTAAGGGATTATTACGAGTCTAAACTGATACCCGAACTTAGCATTTGAATCATCGGAATTTTTCATAAACGGAGACAAAATAGAAGTCAACACAAATCAAGGACAGAGCAAAAGCTACTTTATATTCATTTGGGAAATTTACAAAACATATTACAACGCCCACAAAGGGGCCCTTGTACAAAAAAGAGCTTAATCTATTGTCGGGTCCACGTCCCAGGGAGTGTTGTCTTCGTCTTCGGGGGCTTTATCCTCGGGAGCCTCTTCCCCTTTGGGAGCATCTTCCTCACTTTATCCATCCCCGGTGCCACTCACCACGTCCTCATCATCGGAGGAGACAAGAAACCTAGCATCGCTTTCCCGCGCTTGTGCTTCGGCTATCTCATCGGCAAGGTCGAACCCCTGAGCACGGATTTCCTCAAGAGTCTCCCTTCGAGCTCGGCACTTAGCCAATCCGTTTCTCCTTCTTGCCCGGTCGGAGGCCTCCCTCAACTCAGCTTGAACGGTCGTGGCTTCTCTTATATATATAGCAATGGATTTATCAGCCGCAACTTTAGTCTTCTCGGCTTCGGCCTTCGCTTGCGCAGCTTCAGCCTTAGCCTGTGCAGCTTCAATCCGGGCTTTAGCTATTTCGGCCTCCAGCCCCTCGACTTCCCTGGCCTGATCCAAGCTTTTCGCTTCAGCACCTCGGAGCTGAGCTTCAGCCGAGGCCAGTTGGGCCTTAACATCTTCCTTTTCGGCAGCAAGTTGATCTATGTTCTTCTTCCACTGTTGGCAATCAGCCCGAACTCGATCTACCTCGCCTCGGAGCTGCCCAATCATATCAAGCTTTTGCTGCAACTGAGATATCGAAGTCTTAGCCTCCAATGTAGGGCCAAGAAGGCCGAACTTTGTTAAAATCGCTGTTACCTGCTCGTCTAGCTCGGACTCGCTTTTTTGAGCTTTAGCCAATGTGGTTCGAAGATCCTTAAGCTCCTCTTCTCTCTGACCACAAAGGAACCTCAAGGCCTTCTCTTCACCTGAAACCTTCTTGAGCTCAGCCTCGCATTGGCTTAGCTCGGTTCTAAACTTTGCAATAGCCTACGCACGAAACGGAAACATATCAGTCAAAAGAAGGCAAGGAGAGAAAAACTTGCAATAGAAAGGGCAAGTCCTTACCCGAATAAGGAGACGTTGAGCCTCCTCGAAAAGGGAGGATGCATCGTTAAAGTCATTGGCGTCCTCGATCCTAGCATAGCAACCCTGAAAAGGGTCACCTTCGATAATCTTATTTGGATCGGGCTTCGGCATCGCGTTGGCTTCTTCGATTGCCCCCTCAAAATAAGTTGGCAAGGAAAGGGAGTGACCCGTTGTCGTGGCCTCGAGCTCCTCGCTCGGGGCGTTCTCATTATCATTGGGGGTCTCGGCATATACCCCCTCAGGTATAGTTGTTGAAGGCAGAGGGTCAATCTCGACCTCCGGGGATGTAGGGGCCTTGCCTATTTCTCCCTTCGGGGCATCCTCAGCACGGGATGATGTGTCCAGTTCGGAAGGCTCGGCGACCTCGATTGGTTTCCTAACTCAAGTCACCAACGCCGACCCTTCATCATCATTCTCTTCATCATTCAGGAGATCTTGGGCCGAGCCTGCGCTCGTTTGAGCATATCTTTTCCGCAGTCTTCGAGCGGGGTTTTCTTAACCTGAGGGTCTTCGGGTTTTGAGACCCTTTTTCTCTTCTTGTCCTTCTCGGACTTCGGGTTTGAAGGCTTGGTTTCTTCCCCAGGCGGGTCCGGCCTCTTCTCGGACACATCTCCAAGACGTGCATGGCAAGCATGAGCAAGAAAAAATGCCTCCAAAATGTATGAAAATGTTGAGACTATAAAAAGGCACTCACCGTGGTTCTTGGCCTCCCACTGACCCTTCGCCAATTCACGCCACTTACGCTTGTCGTAGGAAGAAGTGGCAGCTAATTTTCTGACCCAATCTTCGAGGTCGGGCACCGCTAGGGGCGCCCAAGCAGTGGCTTCCGAGAGAAAGATGAGAGAGTTATGGAAAATGAAAGAACATAAATGGATACAAAAAATATGGACCCTACTTGCGGTTAAAGTTCCACCTCTCCGGGAACGACATTTTTTCCTCAGGGATGATGTCCGAAGTCCTGACTCTAACAAACCGGCTCATCCAATCCCGATCTTTGGTTTCATCGGTGCTGGCGAAAAAGGACTTCGTGGTTCGACGCTGCAGCTTTATGAGCCCTCGGAATAACTGGGGCCGATACAACCAGACTAGGTGGTTGAGGGTGAACTCCAAACCCTCGGCCTTCTTAGAGAAAAACCGCAGCATGATCACGATGCGCCAGAACGAAGGGTGGATTTGATCGAGGATGACTTCGTATGTCTTGCAAAAGTCGATCACCATCGGATCGAGGGGGTCTAGTGTGAAGGGGTAAGTGTAAACACTCAAAAACCCCTCCTTGTGGGTAGTTATGCTTTCATCAGGCCTCGGGATCTGCACCTCGACCTTCTCTCCCCAGCGACAATCCTCCTTTACTTCCTTGACGAGCTACTTAGTTATTAGGCTAATGTATCAGGATACGTGCTCGCATCGGCCCTCAACGTCTGGAGGATTCTCGATACCGAAGTCCTTCTTGATAATGCAATCACCAGGGGTGATCTCTTCAAGTGTTGGCGGCACCACCGGTTTGGCCGGCCGGGAGGCAGAGGAAGATGATGCTTTCTCCTTCTTGGGGACCGTCTTGGAAGTTTTTGCCATAGTTAAAAGCTAAGTATTACGGGTGCACAGGGATGTAGTGTTTTCAGGCAAGAGCTTGGTGTTCTTCTAACGCTTGAAGAGGCGGAGGAAATGAGTGATAGAAGAAAGAGATGAAGATGGCAAAGGGAAGAAGAAAGAACAAAGTTCTTCCCTTGGAGTAATCGCCTCATTTATAAGCGGGTGATGACGGTTCGACGACTTCAGTGGCCGACCAATGCTGACATGCATTCAATGTTTTTGGGAAAGCGTACCAGCGGGACGTTTCGAACGCTTTCATCACAAGGATGATTTCATCATTGAGGACTTCGGGAATACAAATCGTTTCTCATCATTTCATTCAAAGAAACGCGGGGACTATCTGTATACGGTCAAAATCAGGGAGCCCGATTTTGGAGTCTTAAATTGGGTTATGAGTCCGGGTTTGGGCAACTCAAAATGGAAGTCGGATCCGGTCGAGGGGCACATACCTCGAAGAAGCTCATCGAGGGCCTGGCACGACTTGCATCGAGGGCAACACAATCTCGAAGTCAATCAAGAAAGAGTGAGAATTTCTCAAGGACACGTGGACCAGGGGATAAATTAGAAGATAAGATTTGTACGAAATGGTATAGGTCCGTACTAGGCTGTTATACACCTGTACCAATAGAATTCTTTACTACAATTAGGAATGTACTATATTGGGGTTTCCTCATCCTATATAAAGGGGACCCCAATCATTTTTGTAGGATCATCTCATATTATTCACTGCAATAGAACATTCTATTCTTTTCTCGTTTAACGTGCTCAACATTTATTCTTCAGCTTTATTGTTCTTTACTTTATTGTTCATACTCTATTGTTCTTAGCTGACCTCGAGGCCCCTGGGACAGCCAAGCTCGAGGCCCCTACTGTTTCAACAACATTGATTCGGTTCATTATTTCTTCTTACTTAAGCTCAATATTACTTGTATAATCACTAGTATTAGAATATCTCACGTATCTTTAAAACCACAAATTATCTTTAATTTAGTTACTCACATTTTTCGAGGTAAACAAATAGTATTGATGATGAAAGAAATTAGAAAAAAAGCAAGTTAGAAATAATAAGGATGAAACAATAGAAGACAATTAGCAAAAAAAAATAAAATATTAACAATAGAAGAATTTTTTTTTTATAAATATTCAATTAATCACATTTTCCTACATTTCTTTCTATTTTGCATTTATTCCAAAAATTACATTTACTTTTTTTTTTTTTTGGACACATTAAGTCAATGAGACTAATAACTTTAATGAATCAATACACACAAAGATCCAAAAGTAAAAGGTCATATTATTTGTCCAAAATTGATATATTTACAAACTTGTAACAATAAGGGTAAAACAGTAAAAGATAAAATATATTTTAAATGAGTAAGCATTAATTGTTATTATTAATATTATTATTTGCATTTATTTCAATAAATGAAAACTCCTTATATGTTTAACATATTAAGTTAATTGTTGTAAAAAAATTAAATTAATATTAGCCATTAAGACTTGCACCTTTTTTTATTTGTAACTCACCCACATTATTTGATAATATCTATATTTTTTAAAATTATTTATTTATTGATATGGATACACGCGCATCGCGCGTGCCCAAAAGACTAGTTGTTTTAGAATTGTATACTTATGATATAAAGTACACATGTGAAGCTGAGTACCCAAATACTCCCTCCGGTCCTTAATAAGTGTTTTTTTGGCTATTTTTTATGGTCCAAAATAAGTAATTTTTACAGATTTCAAGAATGAATTAATTATTTTTTTCCTAAATTGACCTTTGAGTAAATAGTGTTGGAGTATGTGTTAGGAGTGTTTGTGTGAAGAGATAGTAGAGGTTAATATGGTTAATTTTATTGCTAATTAATATTAAAATGTGAGTTTCTTAATATGTGTGAAAACAATCAAAAAATCACTTATTTTGGATCGGAGGGAGTACTAGTTTTCAGAAAAATGGCTTACATCTTCCGTGCCTTTCGGTGATGTGATGGTGGAATATGTCAAAATGTGAAAGCAACTCCTCTTTTGTCAGTGTATGTTTTATGATTATAAGTTAAAAATTGGCATCCTAACGTTACGAATTTGGTCTATTCTCCAATGATTAGAATTTACAAATTGGCATCCCAAGGTTTAGAAATTGGAGCACTTGTTTTTAAAAGCTTTATTTCTTTGCAATAATTGACTTTTCTTTTGTTTTCTCTTTAAAGCGTAGATAAGAAATACCTTTGCTTTCCACGAAAGGATAAATATGCTTGAATTAAATAAATTAAGAACTTAAATAAAGAACTAGCAATAGCATCACAAACTGCTAATGGCCTACTTATTTCTTTTAATGTAATGGACAAATTGTCACGACCCGGATTTTCTACCATCAGAGCCGTGAGCGCCTACTCGTGATAGCTAGGCAAGCCAACTTATTTACCTTTTCATCAATAAGCAATTATCTTAACAGCTTGTAGCATCAATATAGAACATGAAATCTACTAAGAACAGTAGCGGAAGTCTGTCTTATAAATATGAAACAAAATGCGGAATAGTCAATAATAACCTCTACCCAAGATTTGGTGTCACATTACTCACGAACTACTAAGAATATACTAAATACAAAGGTATGAAAGAAATATATAAGCTGTCTGTCTCGAAAACAATGAGGCAACAGTCAAAACAGAGAACATAAAGAAGAGACGTCGGGCCTGCGGACGCCTGCAAGGCTACCTCAGTCTCATGTAAATGAAATCCTGCTCCCGTACTACTGCTGCTGCTGCTCCTCAAAACCTGGGCCTATGCAAAAATGCACAGAAGTGTAGCATCAACACAACCGACCCCATGTGCTGGTAAGTGTCTAGCCTAACCCCGGCGAAGTAGTGACGAGGCTAGACTGGACACCACATAAACCTGTGCAGTTATAAATATATAGCGAAAATCGAATACAAAGCAATTAACAATATGGGAGGGGGGAAACATGCTATGGGGAGATACAATATTAACAGTAACTCAGGGTAATAAACTAAAGCAACTTAGATCCACCATAAACAAGGAATCAATACTCAATATAAACACAGGGCATCAAATAAGTGTTGCGGCGTGCAACCCGCTCCATAATTACCACTGTTGCGGCGTGCAACCCGCTCCATAATTACCATTGTTGCAGCGTGCAACCCGCTCCACAAATACCACTGTTGCGGCGTGCAACCTGACCCATATCATTTATCATGTATCATTGTTGCGGCGCGCAACCCGACCCTCACATATTATTTTTGCGGCGTGCAACCCGACCCTCACATATTATTGTTGCGGCGTGCAACCCGATCCTCAATATCATTGTTGCGGCGTGCAACCCGCTCCACCAAGATCATATTTCCTCATCCAAACCACAGTCACAAATACGGGGCAAGAGAGTAAATAAACAATGATGAAAATCCCGGCAAGGGAATACACATGACAAACAACTTAATAATCTCAGTATCCCGGCAAGGGAGAGAAAAAAAACCAACAACAAAATCAACAAAATGTCCGGCAAGGGAATAACCAGTAACTCTTTCCCTTTCTTTCTTTCTTACTCCACGATATCACTGGAGCCCAAGCTCCAAGAAATTCTTATCTCATATTCCGTCACAAACAACAATATAACGACATCCCAGTGAGGGAACAAAACATTATCTCAAATACCCCGGCAAGGGAATTACTATACCCACATTAGTTCCAACATCTAACCACCACATTAGTTCCAACATCTAACCACCACAGTTATAACCAACCTATTACCACACTTGACCACCTCAGCTATATCTAACCGACTACCACACCCAACCAACCCATCTATAACTATAGTCATCATACGACACAAGGAAACATTAACCTAATCGACCCTAGTATCCGTTAAGAACACAATGCAGAGGAATCACAACCCAACAATAGCCCGCCAAGAGGGCAACATAATGATCTCTCCTCTTTCTCACTTTTACTTCACAATTCTTTTCACAACTCGAGCAGATGCTCCAGAGGTTCAATTATCACTTATACTTTCGCAATTCGTTCTACAACTGGAGCCGACGCTCCTCAATGAATCAAGTCATTTCATATACTTTCGATATTCGTATCACAGTTCGAGCCAATGCTCCTAGGAATCAAATTATCATATCACCATTCACATGTTATTCACAACATATAGAAATACTCCAATAAACATGAAATTCACAATCAGTTCATGATAATCACATTATAAAGACTCACGGTCATACTAGACACCAATGTATAGATACTCGTCACCATGCCTATACATCGTACTCGATCACATAGCAATTAGCAACAAGACTCAACTCATATTCCCTCAAGCTAGAGTTAAACCAAACACTTACCTCAAAGCCTTGAAATCCACTTAATCCTCAACTATCGCTTTACCTCGCGGTTCCACCTCCAATTCGCTCGAATCTAATCACAAATTGCTTAATTACTTTAATAAACACTATATGAAACAATTTGAATGCATAAAAATGAATTTTCCAAGTTTTTCCCAAAAATTCCAAAAACGCCCCCGGGCCCACGTGGTCAAAACTCGAGGTTCGAACCAAAATCCGGTTACCCATTCCCCCACGAGTTCAAATATATAATTTGTTTTGAAATCGGACCTCAAATCGAGGTCCAACTCGCCAATTTATGGAAAACCTAGGTTCTACCCGAAAACCCCAATTTCACCCATGAAAATCCTTGATTTCAAGTGGAAAACATGTTTAATGATGTTAAAAGTTGAAATAATTGAGTCAAAAATTGACTTACAAATGATTTGGGATGAAGTTTGCTCTTGAAAAATTGCCTATGGTGTTTGGGTTTTGAAAGAATGGTGAAAAGTGATGAAAATTCGACTAAGTATAAAATTTGCTGGGCCTCGGATATGGGAAATGCGAACATAGGTTCGCATTTGCGAACAAAACAGGCGTGGGAATTGCGAACATTTTAGTTCGCATTTGCGAACTTGGGTC